ACAAATGGTGACAGTTGCTCCAACACAAGTACATAGAAACTACTGTGAGGACGAGAGAGATTAACCCTGATTGGGATAAGGGGTTGGCTCTTGTCTGGTCCTTAAGGATGGAAGAGATGATGATAGACGAAGAAGATTTGAGAAGGTGGTTAGTCCAGGTTGAGGAACCAGTACGAGCAAAAGACGGTGGGAACTGTGTAGAATGTCTTTAGGTACTGGTAGGAAGCAAGGTGTGATTAGTGATGTGTGTGCAGGGAGGTGGTACCAAGGAGGATGAAAATAAAGTGTCTACTCTGGGTTCCCCAGAAGTCCCTGAGGTATGAATTTATGTTATAGTGTTTTATCAGGAGTGGTAGTGGGGAAGTGGGAGCGAAAAGTGAAGGAGGCTTAAGGGTGTGATATCAGACAAAGTCCCATGAAGAGTAACTTGTGCTCAGTCCCACAGGGGAGCTCTGGAGACATGACAGATCACACCTCAGAGCTGTCCCAATCAGAGGCAAGGGACTGGGAGTGTTTACTCTCCTTCACAAATCAGTCATTGATCAAGGGCTCTACCCCCACCCCGACACTTAAATACCCAGGCTCTTCTGGCTTTTCAAGCCCACAGACCAAGCCCACTTGAGCAACCTGAGGGCTCTCCTTCTACAAAGATTGGCAGGTGTTGACTGGTGGGGTGAATGCCATGAGGAGCCATGTTTGCATGAAAATGGGGATATGCGGAGAGCACTGACATCCTTCAGTGCTCCAGACAGACATATCAAGGGAGCACTGAATGCCACAGTGATAGCATGTATTCAAGCCACATGCAGAAGCAGTAGAGAACCACGGAGACTATCTGAGCAGGTGCTTGAAATAATCAGATGACACCCACTATCTTCTGCTTTCTGAAAAGAGAGAGATCCACTTTCCATCACAGTAAATAACAGAGAATTCCCAGTGCACTTGAAGGTGTAAAGTGGAGTAATAAATTATGAACAAAAGTCTGCTGAAACTGCCAAATAAAGTGAGAGCCTTTTAGCTAGGTAAGAATTCCACAGGGACTTATATTTACTCTCTGCCTGAAGGCAGAATAAGAGAATATTTCCTTGGAAAACCACTTAAGCTTGCTGCTGATTTTCAGAAGTTCTTGTTTCTATAATATCTCCTGAGAAGGCATGAAAGGCAATTCATACTGACAAACCCTTCCTGTGTAACTATCTAACATGCGTTTCAGAAGGACAGTGAGTTATAGCTAATAAATTATCTCATGTCATACAGTAAAATGGAAGTTATACTGTGAAACTACAGTACGTTTGGCATATACAGGTCTTTGTCTGCACCAGCTTCATTACTGGCTTAGTGTTGTAAGACCTAACACAAACAAAGGTAGGTATTGAGGAACTTTTACTAACACAGAGTCAATAGGCAATAAGGCACTGTCTTTCCAGCATTCCCACTGCAAAAGGATGCCAGTAGTTCTGAATGTTTAAGGACTATTCATTTGGATCCCTTATTACTAGGGAAATCGGTCCCTGTAGCTCACACTTCACCTCAGCTGGATAATCTACAAGAAACTTCAAGTCGCCAGGGCTGCTCATACTACATCTGCTGCTGATGGAGTGACTATAGCATTGAAGTGATTGAGACCGAGAATGAAGTGACACTTCACACAGCTGGCTGATAATCAACCACACAGAGCCCAGGTCAGCCCAGATGAACCACTAACAAAGCGTGAAGCAGCACACAGCATGCCTTGGCACCTCTGCTCCCCAGTTATGGAAGATATGATACCTAAGCAAGTCTGAGTCTTCAGCCTTTTCTCCATATGTGTCAGAGGAAGTCTGGCAGAGGAAGATTGCATGGATTAGAGACACTAACTTCTGTTGGGTTTCTAAGAAGCAGATTCTGAGATGCGGATTCTTATGCAAGTGATTTACTAAGAAAGCGTCCCCCAGAGAGGTCAGTGAAGGGGGAGGGGAAGTAGGACAGGGATGGATTAAATCTTGGGCAGAATTCCATGGAAGGCAGCTTCAGCCTGATCTGGCAGGGGTGCTCTGGAGTATAAGTAACACCTTGGAGTTTTTCCCACTCTCAGTAAGGGAAGTGGGTTTTATACTCCCTTACCTGCCAGTTATTAACTAAGGGTTGCCTTCTGGCAGAAGGTACACAAACTCCCAGGAATTTCTGGCTCTCTGCCTATGCAGGCAAAAAGCTACAGTAGCCTGACGGCAGGCGCCTCAGGAGAGTCTCAGGCTGTTGGGGCAAACCACCTAACAGACATGGTTAGGAATCTAGAGGGATCTGACAGAGGACCGATGGTATTCCATGGACTGTGAACACAGTCAGAACTTTCTACCTTTAGCAGGCTCCGAGAGACCTAGAGATGCCTCCCTTTTGTGATAGAAAGTGAATGACCCAGTGGCAATGTGGAGGTGATTACCGTGGAAAATTGTTTGTCTTTAAGCACAAAGGATGCCTGGGAGAGGCGTGGGAGAGGTTAGATTTCATCCCAGCAAAGTCCTTCAATAATTTCCAGGAAGCTGACTGGAAGGATGCTGCTTTTCCCTCCAAACTGGTTTCCAAAGAGCTCCTATGGGCTTTAATGTTAATTTCATGACAGATGAATTAATTTTATGTATTAATCTTAGTACATAATGCATGTCACTCATCCTTCATCTGCGTTATGCATCATATGATATGTTGAGCATTTTCTAACTAAGATGTTACAAAAGAAAGCAATTGATAAGGACTGCTAAGTTGTATTAAATGCTATCTTTTATGGTGAGGCTTTTCATTTAATTTCGAGAGACTTAATGCTGTAATGACCAAATATTTCCTATATTTAACGTCAGGGGAATGTTATGCTATTGTGGACTCATCTGTTGTTAATACTGTTCTTCCCCTCTCTATCACATTGATGTTGGTCATGGGCTTGCAGTTATCTTTAAGGATTTTTTTAAATTGTATATTATTGTCAATTTTTCCCACAGCCCAAATATACCTCTTAAAAATTTTCCATGAATTATGTACACCAAGTTTCAGGTCAACCATTACAAAATGTCAGCAGCAAGTTGTATTTAACTTCTGTGTTTGTCTTTTCATCTAGAAAATGGGATAATGATACATATCTCACAGGGTTGTTGTAATGAGAATAATGCTGCTAATGATATGGGGAGAAGCATCATTTGTTTTTGCTGCCTAGCATCCTTCATTACTCCTTTAGTAGTACTGTACATGGATTTCCTTTGGAGCAATCCTACCTTCAGGACCAGGGTATGTTCTGATTGTCTTAAGCCAGCCAATGCATCTCACCTCCCTAACCACAGTCGTTAGCTCAGGTTAGGCAAATAATGTAATAAGAATTAGAAGAACCAGGCCCAAGGCATTGGTTTGACTGTTGGAGGAAGAGGAACTCTCTCCTCTCCTATATAGTGTGGTGCAAGGATGAGAGACTTGCAGTCACTGTAGCCGTTCCTGCCCAAGAGAAGTATGCCTGGAGCGAGTGAGGGAGGACAACACTGAGTGGAACATAGAAATGAAGGCAACGAAGAGGAAAAGAGACACCAAGAAACCCTAAGGCCTTGATAAGGTTTGAACATCTGGAACAAGCCATGCCTGATCATCACTGGTTCATAATCTCCCTTTATTTTTTTGAGCAGTAGAAGCTGGGGTTACTGTCAACTGCAGTACAAGGCCTCCTAAGTAACACATGTACTACCTAGCATTTATTGAGAACTTACAATGCACCTGATAGAATGCTGACAGCCTCACAGAGAATGCTTATCCAAGCCTCACAGCAGCCTATAAGCTACGTCCAATGATTTTGTTAAAAATGAGAACACCAAGGCCTAGAAAATTAAGTAATTTGCCCAAGGTCACATAGGCAGTCATGAAGCCAGAACTGTACCAAGTAAATTGGATTTGAGTTCACCATCTTTGCCATAATGTTTTTTTGCCTGTCTGTATATAAAGAACAATTTTTGGCTGCATAAATATGAACTTTTTTTTAAACCTCCCTTTTGACTTAAAAATTTACTGTAAATGTGGAAAGACTCCAATTGCTTAGAGTGAATTCAAGGCACTGTTGCCCTAGATTGTAACATGCTATATTATATTGGCATTTATTTTCTAGAATCACCTCCAAGATTATTTTTCTGAATATAACTCAAGACCTGGGTTATGAATCCCAAAAGCAGGAATGTAAGAAACCAGATAATTTAGCTACCTATCACTCCCTTGTGTGGGGCAAGGCAAGACCACTCCTACTTATGGTCTGAATTGGAGAATAAGAAATCATGTTTTGAGATTGGTCATGCTCTATGGATTTGTTTTTGCCTATGTGAAAATAAAGATTTTCCTCTTTCTAGTGGGGTCATATAATGTATTCCTTTTGCTTATTCATGGAGACCTTCAAATGCTAAATACATTTTTAGAAAGAAAAATTAATAATATATATGATCATGTGGCTTTCACTATACAGACAATCTATATTAACAAGGGATTCCCAAAACAATGGATTTACTGATGGATTTTGGACGTGACCAGCGCCATTTTGCACACAATAAGCACAAAATAGCCGCTAGCCTTTCCCTTATGAGAAAACTCGTGGTTTCTGAAAAACAGAAACTCCTCTATTTCCGCATGGGTGCAACCTTCCACCTGATTGTATCTGCCAGCCTTATCTTCCACACCAGCACCAAACCCCTCCCTGACTATGTCAGCCTTCCCTACAGTCTATATAAGCTCTCCCACCCCCAAGCCTGGTGCTGCCCTCCATTTTGAGTGCAGCTGGGCAGATACTTTTCCTTTAATAAAACTTGATCAGTACGCAGTGTTTTGGCTCACTTTCTTTCATTTACGACATTTATTATTATATTATTCCAAAATTTGCTACACTAATCTCTGCAGATTAGCACTTGAAATTCAGAAGTCGTCAGATTTTTTTTAGGCCTGTGACTTCAATTTTGCTCATAACTTGCCCCATCGCACAGCTGTTTGACTAATCTGTAAGCATTTCCTACCTTGGGCTGAAGCACAAACCACTCATCACTTGGATTATCAAAGTTCCACGAGTCAAAAGGAATCTCCACCTCCCCGAGAAAGCTGTTACGTCCAAATCGATCATAGTGCCAGACTGAGAGCTGCAGCGTTCTTGTTTCCAGCTGGGTATGGCTGATGGTGTACTGCAAACGAGATTTACAGCATCACGTTCCAAAAGGAGGGTTCTGCCCAATTCCAGAACAGGTTGAAATTTGCTTCCACCATCTTTCAGATCATAAACATCAGTAATATGAGCAAAACAAACACAAAGAAAATACTTTCTTTTTCTTAGTTTCTGCTATAACCGAGGTTCTATTCTGTAAACTCATTTGTGCCAGACCTAGCACTGAAAGATAAACAAATTATTTTGTGGGGGTGGGTGGGTGGTGATAAACTCCAGATACTGTATGAAAAGGACTAGATGATAAAACTTATCTTTTCAGTTTTACCTGTTTTTCACTTGCCTAATTATTTTTTCACATTTACTTTGTAAGCTTCAGGTTTAATATATCAATTCTCCAATGTCTCTGTCTTGTTTTATTCATAATGAAAACCCCTAAATCCACAAAAGTATTGACAACAAGAAACTTGCAGATACCAAACTTCATAAAGCCCAGCATAAGTGCAGAGTTGAAAAGATGTATATGTAAATTGAGCAGAAAGAAGATATGGCTGAGCTAACTTTTCCTTTTGCAGCAGAACGTTATCCAGGGCCACATGCCCACATACCTTCCAACCTTCTGCTTGTTCTATGCAACCACTGTCTGGGAAACACTTCGGACTGATTCCTGATCTTGGCTTTGGATCTATTCCTGTCCTTGCTGTTATGATCATGATTAACTTTGGCTCCCTGCTTCCTGAATTTACCCCGTTGCTGTGTTTATCTGTTCTGCTTGGGCTCCTCTTTGCTATCCTGTGTTGGCCACTGGATTCACCTTCTGCCTTTATTTATTTATTTTCAGCTTGATCTGTCTTGGTATTGGCTCCTGCTTCCACACATGTCCCCACTGACACATGCAGGCTTATGGCTTTCTGCTCTCACCAATGTCCTCTTATGGTGGACTCTGACTCCATCACTCTGGGTACAAGTCCATAAATTTCCCTCCCTGGATCTTTCTTATTAGGCCAGGATAAGAGAAGAGATTGTTACGTGGAAGCCCACTGGAAATAGAAATTTCTCTAGGATTGGGGCCTGTGTCATATTTTATCTAGGCTACTTCCTCTGAGATTTCTCAAATCTGACCTTGCATTTCCACCATTCATTAACTACACACCTAAATTTAGCTAAATTCTGGAACCCTAACAAGAAACAGCACATATCCATGCTGTGTTAGCAGAACAATGAATGTGCACAAAGTGACCCACTAAATTAGTGTCAAAACTGTGACAAACTTCTTTTAAGGGGGCCAGAAAAACCCCAGTTTTCCCAAGAGTGAACATACATTTTGACTAGATATATCAGCTCAGATGTAATTTTGCTGGATCATGTCTACCTAAGGTGCAACTTTAGCAGCAGCGAAGAAGTAAACAGAGTGAGAGTGGTTTATATATGTCTTATTTTCCAAAAACTGTTAGAAAAGTGAAGGGTGTTACAATAATTTATTCAATTTCCAATTTTCTAAAACATATACAAGCTTCAACCTGCGAATAAAAGATTTTCTTTAGTTACTTCTAAACCAGTGTGGTTATGAACAGTATCACATGAGTTACTATGAGAGAGTATTGATTTACCTTTAGCATTTCATTGAATTCGGGATTGGTGCCTGTTCTGATTTTGGTCTTGCGCTTATTGTTTCTGGACTTGTCAGGAAGAAGGTATGACTTGACATAACTATAGAAAATAAAAGGTGAAAGTAATTATTTGGAAACATCTACTTTACAAGAAATGCTCAGGGACTTCAGTGAATAGATGAGGCCAGTGAGCATAAGAGACAGGACCAAAGAGAATGTAGTCTATAAAATAGATACTTTAAAATATAACTCTGGGCCTTTCACAAGAGAGAAGTAAAGTGTAGTGGTAAAGAGAGTGTGGGCTCTTGATCAAGTCAACTGGTTTTGAATCACACCATGCCTCACTGGTTCTGGTGACCTCAAGAATCTACTTAACCTCTCTGTGCCTCAGTTTCCTTATCTGTAAAACTGAGATAATAACAGTATTTAACTCATGGCATTGTGAGGATTAAATTAGTTGAACATACAAGGAGTTGACATATTGTATTACTCAATAAATATAATCTGTTATGATTATCAATGGCCTCACAATCTTTTCTCTGGTTATACTCCTGTCTATTCCTAGTTCTGCCTTCTGATGTCAGAAAGTGGGGTTAATGGTAATGGGTGAATGAAAGAAAATCATGAAAAAGAAAAAATAGAAAATAACATCCTGAAGTCATGATAGCAGTTCTACCCAACACCTTGCCTTGAACTCTCTCAGGAGCCTCTGGAAGCTGGGGCATCACAGTAGAGCAGAAATGTACAAGATATATATGTTTGAAATTTACAAGATGCTACCAGAGTTCTGAAGCACGTCTGTTGGGATTTTAGATGACCCTTTTCCACGCTAGTCAGAATAATTACATTGTTCTTGTAGCCCTCTAAATTTAGTTGAGGAGGCAGATGGACTAATCTGTAGTAGGAATCCATTCATTTGTCTATCTTAAACCCACTTCCACTGGGTTGTTTATTGGACATAGGTCATCTGTTGTGTGGGAAAGGGTTCACATAGCAGGCCTCTGACTGCTATTAGAAATGCCTGCTTGCAAAGTTGACCCTTTGGTGGTGTCTGGGAACTTATATTTTGGGAGGGTTCCCACTGATTCCAGAACAGATAAGAGTGGCTCACTGTGTCTAAACCAGTTGTACAAACAACATGACTATGCTGAACATGTGCTTTCCTTCTGGTAAACTGGAAATCTGATATGTGACCAGCTGAGTCTCTAACGAGTTTCCCTGGTAGATGACATTTTACAAGTGTTGTCACAACTCATTGCTGGAGGAATTGAATATATCCTGTGTGACTCTACTGGGAGAGAACCCTTGGAAGCTTGAGCCTGATTTCTTTAGGACTCACCCCATGTGCCTTTCCCCATGCCAACTACATGTAGGGACCTATGAGTCCTCCTAGTGAATCACTGAACCTCGTGGTGGTCTTGGGGAGCCCTGACACGTCTTTATACCTAGCTCCCCTCCAAAATGCCACAATCCATGCCTGCCCTCCCAGGGTCATCCCTAGAATCCTGAGTGACTCATAATTGCCTCTTTGACTTGTTCAGTTGTGTAACAGCTTGATAATTTTCTCTGGAAGATTTCCCAGAACAAAAATTAACAAGATAGCTTTGTACATCCTGGGTGTGCCAGCATGTCAGCTTCTACCTCAAAAAGCTGCCTCTGTGTAAACTATAAACACGACAGTCCTGAATCATGTTGAGTAATGGCCTTTTAAAAATCAGGTAACCAATGACACAACCATTATTCATGCAGTCAGAGAGTATTTAGAAGTGTGATGTAGGAGGAAAGTGAAAATCAATTCTCTGAAAAGGCTCTGAATCAAGAGGAATGCTAAAGACTCTTCTAAAAAAGAAACACACGTACAAAGAAGGCAGCGATTGAAATAGTCTGAGGGACATGTCATGTGCTTACGCATCTGTCCTCTGTTTCTTTTCATCTCCTATGGCCAGATTTCTGCAATTCTTGACAAAAATGTAGAGCCCGCCGGTTTTGTAGCAGTAGCTAATGTGGAGAAGGATTTCACCACTGACCTTCACGTTGCCATAGTCTCCTGTTTCACTGTAAACACTCATCATGCTGTTAAGGCTGGTCTGGAATAAACAAGATTAAAAAAAAAGGAAGGTGTCCAGTGTTATTCCACTGATCTCTTCACAGAATCCACCCCTTCATTCGGTTACTATTCCTGTTCTTTATAATGAACACAGAAGTCTAGGGTGATGAAAGAAAGCAAAAGTCACTTGTTTTGCTCATTTTGCTGGTATATAAAATCCCAGCCTGAGGAAAGAAAACAGATCTAATACCATTAGTAAGGAAGGCAGGAGACTTGCTGAGAGGGGAAGCACTGACTTTTTGGATTAGTGAATACTTTTTGTTAAGTCACTTCTAATGAATACAGGGTCACTGAGACATTTCCAATCCCACCTCCCCTCCCCATCCCTGAAGCTTTCTCTTTTTTCACTGGTAGACTCAAATTCAGTCTACTTCAAGGTCTAGAATACATTAATCAGGACAAAGAAAAGCTCATCTCATATTCTGTGCTAGCAGGAGCCACAAGCTCCTTTCTCTGACACTCACAGGGAACATTCCATCAGTCTCTGGGGAGCCACAGCTGCAGCTTTAACAGGACATGCCAAAGGAACATCATATACCCACAGCTGCCATGATTCCCCTCTCCCCGACTGAGCAGCTGTGTGGCCACACAAGTAGTGTAAGACCACGGCTTTGTAAATCTCTGTAAAATAGCAGCCCACAAAATATAATGCTAAACAATAAAAGCACACATCAACCAATCAATAAAATAATTTAAAAAAAAAAACCAGCCCAAATCTACCAGAATGAATGAGATTTTTGACAAGACACTAATGACATAAGATATTTTAAATTAAATATAACAAAATTATCCTTTAGTGCTAGAAGTGAAAACGCTGTATCTTAGTAACACAACTGTCAAAAAAGACCACCTGGAAGGCTTTCATGAATGACTCAGTAGTTTCAAAACCCCTCTTCTAAAAAAAAAAAAAAAGAAGAAGAAGCAAAGGGGCTAGCCAGTTAGCTCATAACACTGAGGTCACAGGTTCAGATCCCAGTTGCCAATAAATAAATAAATAAATAAGTAAATAAATAAAAATAGATAAAAAATAAAATATCAAAACCCCTCTTCTGTGAATTACTGGGAAGCAAGGACTACGGTGAGTATAAAGGGAGCTTAGACTTTCCCGTCCAACGGGAAATGAAAATGATGATGTCCAATCAATTCTAAGATATGAGAAATTGTGTAGTGCTCAACAGGCACACATCCTACTAGTAAGTAATAGGGGCTATTTAAGAATAAAACAAAAATACTGTTGTTCTTTCAATTTACCTGTATTATTTTTTCAAATGGCTACTAAGTTGTTAGGATGCAAGTGCTTATTGAATTGTTTGGATCTAACTACGTAATACATGGACTAGTCAGGTGTTACTTTTGACCTAGGAGCGCCATGAAAGAATTACTGAGACATTAGGGGCTATGTGAACTGAACTGAGAAAGTTTTGGAGTCTCTGTCCCAGATGATACAATGTTACTGGTCCAAGAACCATGCTTTGAGTATCAAGGGCTTCAAGAATAAGCCCCAACCCCCTCATGTTACACATAAGAAAACCCTAGCTCACAATAATTATTGGCAGTGCCAAGACATAAAGCACTATCTGCAGGATTCTAGTCTGAGGACCACCCCACCATACCTCATTACCCTCTTTTATCACTGACTTGTGTTTACACCACATGCCCTCTTCAGCCACATTTTCAAAGAGGGTCCTCTGTAAGCAGGGGACCCCTAGAGGTAGAAGGAAATTTAAGAATCCACAAATGCTGAGGCTTGAGAGAAATTAAGGCAGTTATGGCAATTTTACTACTAATTAAATTTTATGCTCTCAACCAAGCCAAGGCTGTGATTTAAAATAGAGATGTTTACTCCAAAGGTCTCGTTAATGGTAAATCATTTTGGACCACATGTCTTTTGACTGGCACTAAGATTCTAATGTTTAATGAATTAGAATACTTGGGTTCTGATAACCTCATTGAACTTTTAAAAGAGAAACTTTGGTTAATTGTACATAAGCCAGAAAAAGAAAAATGCTGAAAGAATCACCCACCTAATCATATTTCCCAAATCACTAAATATGTAAGGTATGGTTGGAAAGAAGAAAAAGGGAAGGTTGAAAACTCACAGTGTCTGAGTCAGCATCAGGCACATTTAGGTAGGTCCACTTCCTGTCAGAGCCTGCTTGAGAATTCTTTAAGAAAGTTGTCCAAAGATCAAAAGAAGAAGGGTATTAGAACAACAGAAATCAGAGAAGCAAAGAAAAAGACTTACAGGCACCCAGATAGATACAAGGACACAGGAGACCCTAAAGCCTTCATCTCAAGGAAGGCCTTGAACACTAAGTGATAAAGGGATTTATTCTATGGGCAGTGGGAAGCTATGAATGTGTTTTGAGTAAGAGAGAAACCTGATTGGGTGTGTGTTTTAGGAAAATTACTGGCAGCAGTGCAGAGGACGATTGGGGAGTTGATAGAACAGTGTTAGGAAAATCTGTCAGCAGATAATTGAAATAACTTATAGGCTTGAGTTGACTAGACATGAACTAGGAGTTGAAAACATTTCAAAACGTGGGCAAGGACTGTGGAAAGAGAAGGAAGGAATTAGGAGTCTCAGAAAAAGTCCACAAAAATTAGATTGAAAAGTACTCTGTGGGCAAAGGGCAAGCAGGAGCCTACAACGACTTTTGACTTGTTGTCACAGATTTTCCCAGAAACATTCATATCTCCTTTGGAAATGCACAGAAAATTAACAAGAGGAAGAACTTTGTGCTAGAGAACTGCTTACAGTTGACATGCCACTTGCCAGACTGTGGGTGTTTGCAGAAAACTGGGAGGATGCTAAGTCGTCAATGCCTTCTCCCTCAGTGTCTTCCAAGGAGTCCTAAGAAAGGAGGGAAAAAAATCAGTGGTTTACTTTCTTTCTTTCCTAGAAAGTCTATTCATTTGAAAAATCACTTTCTTTCATAAATACCTGAAGATCAGATAAAAATATCTAGAAATCACCCATTTCTAGGTTTTTCTCTTTTTTCTTCCAGTCAACCTGAATTACAGAATCAGAAGGGTAGGCAGGGGTGGGGAGTGGAGGGCAGGGTCTGCTTCCTCATGGTGCTTGCTTTATGGAAAGAGTGTGAAATTTGTAATCATATAGACCTGGATTCAATTCCTACTTCCTTGACCTCTAAGGTGATTCACTTTGGCCAATGTACTTATTTTTAATTTTTCTTAATATTGGGTCTCTGTGTGTGTATGTACACTCACATATACACTGCCACGATGAGGAAATAGGAGTACATCTAAAAAATCTCTCCAATAGGCCGGCCCAGTGGCGCACTGGATAGTGCGCCGCTTGGGAAGCGCAGCGGCGCTCGCGCCCGAGGGTTCGGATCCCACATGCAGACCGGTTCCCGCTCACTGGCTGAGCGAGGCGCGGGGGCAACACCGAGGTTTGCAATCCCGTTGCCGGTCCCCGGTCCGGTACGGGGGCAACACTGAGGGTTGTGATCCATTGCCGGACACGGAAAAAGACAAAAGACAAAAAAAAATAAATAAATAAATAAAAAATAAAAAAAATAAAAAAAAATAAAAAATCTCTCCAATAGAAAAATTAGACACTGAACTCTCATACCAAATCCCATATTCTATTTTTCTTCCACCACTTCTTTCTCTCCTTCATGATAAAATAGCTTTCTTTTTTCTGTAAAAATTTTTACAGTAAAAAATTTCAAGCAATATAGACAAATATAGATTTAAAAACTTAGATTTCCCATTAATACATTAATGACCAAATCCCAATATTTCGATATTATGTATCGTGTTTGTGTGTATATACTTGTAAATACATATACACACGTATATACATAAATGGATTATATCTTGCATTCTGTTTTTTACTATGGACACCTTTCTTTTTGCTTCTCCTCTCCTCCCTACCCCTTCTTTCAGCTTAAATGAAACTAATATATATCACCTGCTGTACATATTACATTCCATGTTTTTCTCCTTGTTTATGTGAAAAAATCCTATAAAAATATACATATACAAATCTGAGTAGACATGCACAGATTTCTTTTAACCATTGTTTTACAAATTGGGATTATTTTATATATACACTTCTGTGATTTTTCTTTTAAAAATTCTTCTTATAAAATATAACATATAAAAACATGCATAAAACAGATGTACAGTATAATAAAAATATAGAGTGATCAAGCAGAAGCCCCCCATGTGTCCTGCCCATATCAAAAACCCTTCTGCCCTCCACAAAATAATTAATATCTTAACTCTGGTGGTAATCACATCCTTGGTTTTGTTTACAGTTTTACTACCTAAGCATACATCCGTAAACAATATGATTTTGTTTTGTCTGTTTTTAAACCTAATGTAAATGGAATCAAAAGTTATATATTCCTTTGTGTCTGCCACTTTTGCTCAATTTTATTGCCTTAAAATTCATCAAATTGTTGCATGCTATTATAGTTTGTTTATTTCTATTGTTATTTAATATTCCATTGGATGATATCACATGCTTGATCTCTTGTTGCTAAATATTTGGGTTATTTCCAGATTTTTTTTTTTTTGTGAGCAACACTGATACGAATTTTCCTGAATATGTATCTTGCTGCGCATACACACACTAGAGCATATTCACTTGGGTATATACCAGTGAGAGGGATTGTCAAGTCACAGGGTGCACATCTCTACAAGCTTATTTGTATTATTTTTAAGATAATGTCAAACTTCTAGAAGTAGTTATAACAATTTACAGTCTAACCAGTAGTGTATGAAAGCTCCCTTTGCTCCATATCCTTGTCAGCAAACAGTTGTTACTGTCAGATTTTTTTTCATTTCTTTGCCAATCCAGTATATGTTTAAAATCTTCATGATTTTAATTTGCACTTCCCTTATTACTAAGTTGAGCACCTTTTTGTGATCATTGGCCAACTGAATTTCCTATTTTGTGAAGTACTTTTTCAAGACTTGCTTATTATTATATTGGTTTACTCACTTTTTCTCACTGATAGGCTCACAAGATTTTCATAGTTTTCTAAGATCAGGAATAGTTTAATAGCATTACAATTAGCAGTTTTTTAAAGGTTGGGTGCAAGTAAGCATTGAAACCATTTGATTCCATTGCCTACTCTCCTTTTTCGGAGTGGATTTTAAAGTATTATCCCAGTTTTTTATACTATAATAAATAATATTTAGTTTTAGAACTCTGTTTCCTGGTTTTCTTTGGCAAAACTATTAATACCATTTAACATTTATGCTAGATCTTTCTTCCAAGAAGTTCAAATTTTATTATAGCAATTACAGAAATCAGAATACCAGATTAGAGCAGGAAAGAACCTTAAAAATAATCTAATTTAACCTTCTCATTTTACAAATGAGTTCACTGACACATTAAATTTTACATAATTTAGTTTCAATTAAGAAGGCAGTTTATTGGGAGTAAGTTGAGATATAGAAGTGTTCATGTAAAATATACAGTCTAGTAATATTTGGTTTAGGAAATGTTGGGATCCCTGGTTTCCTAGGTTTAGATTAAGTGATGAGCCTTTAGCCAGGAATTGAAATACCTAGCAGGTGTGTTCTTAGAGATAATCTTTGCTTATTGACCTGATTACGGTTACCTTTTCTAAATTATGCTTTCAGTTGCTTTTATATGTTGACTGTAAAGACTAACAGGAAGATATATTGTATATGTTCACTTTACTCTCAACTAGTCCTCACCTAAAAGAAGAGCTGCTTGGAGCAGGATTGTGCCCTCTTTTCTTATGATCATTAGACTCTTCCACATCAACTTACCAAGTCTTTGTCTAAAGCTCCAGGGACAGACTTGCTTCTTAGGCTTACAGTATCCTCCAAGTCATCTGTAAATGACTCACTCAAATCTAACTCAGATCGACTCCGGTCTGGAGGAAAGAAAAGAAAAAGAAAGATGTGAATCACCTTATTTTGTTAGAAGTTTTCATTTTTCATTGCAAATGTTTCATCTTTATTCCAATTCTTTTTAGGCAGAGGGCATATGTAATATTGTGCAAGCAACAGTCAGAATCAGTGACTTCATGCCGTTTATGTCAACATGCTTTCATTTTTTATAGTATTTTGGAAACTGCCTTGGACTGAATTACTAACACATATGTGTCCATTTCTCCTTTAATTACAGGAGATTAAATGCTCTACCACAAATGCTAAGTTTTAAGCTGTTTAAGGCTTCTGCTTTGCTCCTAGATTTTAAAAACTCTTAGAATAGTCCCTTAAGCTTGGAAAAAAGTAAAACCTTAACCATTTTTTATTTCAACATTTAGAGAATTCACTGTGTTTTCATATTTGACATAAAATGCAGGTCAAATTGGTTAATTCTAAACTGCCATTTTAAAATGAGATAAGTTCCTTGCACATAAAAAAAGGAAGTGGCTATAGATAAGTTGAGAAGTTCTATTTTGTAAGGCACCAGAACATTCTTTCATCAGAAGAACATGTTGCTTTCTGTTTTAAAAATATAAGTTACAGGGCAATGTATCCCTCAGTAACACTGTGGACAACTTACCAAATCAGACAGTTTATTTCCACAGAATAATTCTATGCCAAAGCCCTACTGAAATAGACATAGTTGCTTATAAATGAGCAAAACTAGAGAAAGTAATCAATTACTTAAGTTTGAAATGGTAAAGGAAATAAGATAGAAATGTTTAGCATAGTGCCTGACACAGAGTATGTCCTCAATAAACAGGAGCTGTTGAGTAGAAGTAGACTCTATGATGTTGGCTTCTTGGCTAATTTAAACATTTTCATTTAACAGGTGAACTGCTTTTCTGCTCCTGAGCAGCAATGACCACACACATTTAGAAAAACCTCTGGGAGCTGGTTGGCTAAGAGAGACTCCCCAACTCAGCACACAGAATCCAGCCTTAGACTTTACGGAAATATCATTAGGTAACAGGTAACTTTTTAATGTTGAGGATTTCATCGTGATCATAATTCTGTATATGGGATATAAACTTCATAATTATGACAAATCCTCTAAAGAGTTTCCTTATTCATAGGTAAGTAAATTCCATCATAAATAATACCTGTTGTAGAGGATTGTTGTGATAATGAAGTAAAATGATATATTTGAATGTACCATAAAAATGAAAGGGGTAATTATTAATATCTTGATGCTGCTTGCAAATAATTCCTTATTTAAACCACAAAATGATTTATTTGTCTGGATAAAGTAAACTTCTGACCACCATATCAATTGAAGTACCACTTCCTTGAACTCTGAGCAGGTGGTCTTATCTGTCACACATAACGTATCCTACATTCCTATATTGATATTCTGGTATAACTCTGAAACTTGGCAATGATGCCTAGCAAGAGTGTACACTCAATAAATGGATTTTTCATGAATGCAAGAGGCCCAAAATATCACCTGGGTCCACCTTCAAGCAGTTCTCATTTAGTGGGCCTACCATTGTAGGTTAAAGAATGGACAATTATTTTCTAAGGCATGAAACATCCATTTAATACCACACAGAGCAGTCGATTCCTTCTGATTAAGTCATTTTTTCAACAGAGTAAGCATGCTGTAAATACCCACCTGAGGAGAGATAGGCCCCACACACCGCTATGGAAGGTGTGCCTGAAGTGTTTCTGTGATGACTCTTTGTGAGTCCCTCAGACGTGCTTTCAATGGCAGTCAAACACATGGAATTTTCAAAACCACGCTCCTTCCCACAAAGTGAAAATGAAAAAAAATTATACTGACTGCAATTTACTTTAAACTCCTTCCATATAAATATATTTCAGTATAAACATTTATGTGTCTCACTCTTTAGGAGGAGCTAAGTGACATTTGAAGGACCCTCATCAGGATAATTCTAAACTTATAACTCTAAAACTTACTATCAATAATTGCTATCTAAAATCTATTCCAAGAGGATTGTTAATTAGCACAAAAGGTGTTTGAATAATGTTTCATTTACAAAATTAGTGAGTGTTCTAATACACGGATAGCAAGATAGATAAAACAGGTACTCCCAAGCTTATATGAACTATGTAAGAATCTGGCAAGCTTCACACTTTCAGGCTTAGGACTCTGTTTGGTCCTATATTTGGCCCCACTCTCAACATTCCCTCTCCTCAACAACCCTTCACCACCTCCACCCCCATTTAACAGAAGACCATGTCACCTTTTCCATCTAGAATGCTGGCTGATAAGAATATGGTTGGTTATACCTATGTTGTAGCAAAACTTTTATGCATGGCACTTACATTATCATAAAAGGGTAAAGAGTGGGGACTTCACCAGTTTACAGGAATGGTTAGTTTTTTGGAGTACTTGCTTGCTCATATGCTTGTAAACGTGGTGGAGTCCAGTCTGAGCCTTGCTTTCATTGAAACATATGATAAAGAAAACTCTGTCCCAACTTTGCCCAGGCCCATCGGGGCTTGCCAACTGCATCACCCCATGCTTGCTTAAGCATTAAAAAACAAATTTTGGAGCTTTTGAGAACTGGACTGAGGTTAAATGTCCATGCAAATGACATCATGGTATGATAATGATCAAACCTAAAAGAGACTTTTCAATTGTCCCTTCTATAAACAATCACAAAGTGCCTTTCAAAGTCCTATAGGAAGGAATTGCCTCTTTGTGGCCCACATCTTAGACATTCAGGGACACTTTGATGAACTCACTCCAAAGAGACATGACTCTCACTTTCTCAGCAAGCTAATCAGTTCAGCTTCAATAGAGACTGTTTTTAGTCTTTGATTATTCTCCAACACATAATACTTGTAGCAGGAGGTATACAGCTCCTAACTCTTCTAATTGCCATAAACTATGGTTTATCAAAAGAGTATGACAGAGGTCAAGTGGATAAATTAGTTTAGGTCAGTTTTCAACACCTCTTCAAAAAGTTGTTCACACATGTAGTCCTCTAATGAAGCAAGACCAAATTCCGTATTAGTAGTTATGTTGATGGCAAATTTTCTTACAGGTGATCTCAGAGTATCATTAATATTGAGCACTAATAGGCCAATTAATATTGTATAGTCATTAACATGCAATATGTGTTCTATAGGTTCAGGATATAAAGCCTAAAATTAACATCATAGCAGAGGATAGGTTAGAGACTTGCAGGTTTTAAAAGTTTTCCATTTTAAAAACTTACTTCTTACATGCTAAAGCAGAAAAGAAGATTAAAACAAAGAAATGCTAATAAATAGGAGAAACTGAGAAGTTGTTAACTTGATCATCATCTAACTCTATATCCTTCTTCCCTTCATCATTAAAGAGCAAACATGCTTCATTAACTACTGTGCTGTCTTATTTTTATTCAATAGAAAATACTTCCCTTTGTCTCTCTTCTCTTAGAAAAGACCAGCTTAGACCAGCTACAAGAGTGAGATCAACATGGGAATTGCCTATATACATGTACATATACTCAACTGAACTGCAGGGAATTTCTGTTGGGGAGATACAGGTATTATTTAATAAAGGAATATGCATGTAGGGGATGTTAATTTTGAGGGTATTAGCACATGTCAAGGGTGATTTTCCACCTAATAATCTCTACTAGTACTTGGGAAGATTATCCTTGTCTTAAGAATAATCTTGATTGACTTATTGGTTATTGAACTGACAGTCAGCTGCTACCCACTGGGACAGATGCACTAGCTGTGAAAAATTTTTAAATACTTCTGTTATCAGTTGTTAAACAGCACTGCTCCCAGTCCACCACCACCTTCCCCATTCTCCTCCTCATCCACAACCTGAGGTCTTCCTACAATCCAGGTTGATGCATGGCATGGAAGGGCCCCCAGGATACTGTCCCGGCCTTGTGCCAGTGTATGTTCTGATTGCTCAGTGTCCCTGACATACCAGTTGCTAAATATTTTCAATATCATTCCTTGTTAGGCAGCCAAAGTGAGCATAATCATCAGCTATGCACTTTTCTGGCTATTGAACAGAATCTGCTTGCTGAGCTCAGCATAAATATTTAAGAAGTTTTAAATATGCCTTTTATCTTATCAGCAAGTACAACTTAGGCTATAAGTGTTTAAACAAATCTATTATTATTATTCAATCTGTTGGAATGCCTTTTGGCGCTTCCTTAAAAATATGTACAGAATCTGACTGCTCAGCACTTCCACTGCTATCTCTCTGTTCCAAAGCCCAGTCTCTCGCCTGGAGTATGTCAGTGGTCTCCTAACTGATCTCCTGGCTTCCATTCTTGCTGCTTACAGCTGCTTCTCAGCACAGCCTCCAGATCCTACTTAAACAGAAGGCACATCATGTTACTGCTTTGCTCAAAACCCTCCAACTTCCCCCATCTTAATCAGAGTAAATGCCACAGTGCATACAGCGGTCTTCAAGGCCCTACTCGGCCCTATGATCTCTCTGAAATCATTGCCTACTTTTCCTCCCCTTGTTCACTCACAACAGCTATATGGCCACCTTGCTTTTCCTTGAAAACACCAGCCATACTCCCACCTCAGGGTCTTTGCACTGGGTATTCCTCCAGAGGCATTAAAAATATTTTAGAAACTGGCTGAGCAAGGGTACTGACCATGCAAGGTGGAGGTCAGCCAGTAAGTAGAGCGGCCTTTCCACGTGTACCTGCCAAATATCAGTGTTGTCTCTGCCTGGAGGAACGCCTTGCCCCAGACATCTGCATGGATAATTCTTTCACTTCCTTCAAATCTTTGCTTGAACAGGGCCTGGCATATAGTAGGCCCTCATTAAATATTGGCTGAGTCAAAGAACTGTGGTTCGTATACAAAGATTTCTTAAATATAGATGCCAGCAATATGTATGGAGTTTCCTGCTTAAAAAAAGTGAATCTAGTATATGCTAATTCATTCTAACAATGACTTCCAACAGAATATTTAGTGGAAAACAATTCCCTCCAAATACTTTCTCCATCTTCTCCCTTAAAAAAGAAAAACCAATAAAAATGTAATTTATCATATATATATATTTATTGTTATATATGCAGATATATAAATGCAATTTAAGTCTTCATTATGTGTTGACCACTCATTTTAACAGATGTACAGGAAAGAAAACTATAAGACAATTTCAGGGTTCTACTTTTCCAGACTTAACAGATTGGAAAAGTTTTAGTGCAGTGAACTTAGGAATATCTTCTCTGAGAAGTAACATGGAGCATCAAAACTACAGCCTTCTAAAAATTCTTTATGTTCATTTAAACCATATAGCCATTTAAATCCCCATTATACAAATGCCACCTTTGAGTCTGATCCTTCCTTTTCCACTTTGGGTTTCCTACCAGGAGCTAAGGATGCAGGAGGTTCAGTCCTGATAAAAGAAGCTTCTACCATTAAAAAGCATAAATAACATGCTCTGAGACACAGACAGCTCAAACCCAGTCATGCCTTGGTGGTGAGGTTGATTCTCAGAGGCTGGATGTCCCTTCACGTTTGTGTACTTACTCTACAGCTGACTGAGGTCACGCTTCGTGTGCTGGGGGCAGGTGATCTCTGAGTGACTGGGGTAACCCCACTGCTCCGGCTGCTCTTGGGGGTCCCAGGACCAGGCTCCTGGTCATTGAGATCTGATGAACCAATGCTCCCCCTAAATGAGAAAGCATATTCTGGCTTTCACACAGAAACGGGGCAGAGACCAAAGACATAGGCAGGGAAAAGCTTACAAGGAAAACAATGAGAACACATGAACCACAGCAAGTTCACAAGAGCCACGCTGGAACTGCTCAGCAACTCTCATGTCACCCTTCTCCTCCTTCACAGGCTCATGAGGTCTGACCCCATTTGCCTGACTCTAGGGTCTTTGTGATTTTATTATTGTTGTTGTTATTATTATTATTATTTGTATATTCTTTATTACAAATCATGATTTTTCTTTATGCCCTTTACCCAACTTATTACTTCCCAAACCTCCTCCCTCCCTGTCCCCCACCTCTAGTAACCTTAGGTTTGTTCTCTCCTTCTGAAAGTCCAACAAATTGTTGTGGTCTATTTTCTCTTCTCTTCTCTTCTCTTCTCTTCTATGCTCTTCTCTTCTCTCCCCTCTCTTCTCCTCCCCTCCCCTCTTCCCCTTCCTTCCCTTCTTCCTTCCTTCCTTCCTTCTTAGCACCCAGTTATATTTTTAGAAATATCAATACCAGATTTTATTTTTTTGTTTTAATTTATCAATATGCACTGTAGTTGACGTTCGTGTCCCTTTAAGAATTTCTCCTTTCTCCCCCTACCCCCGTCAACATCATATCTGTTCATTTGTCTTAACAAGTTCAAGGAATTTTTGTGATCGTTGTGTCTTCTTTCTTTTTTTTCCCCATTTATTTGTTTGTATATTTATTTGTTTATTTATATTAGCTCCCACAGGTAAGTGAGAACATGCAGTATTTCTCTTTCTGTGCCTGACTTATTTCACTTAATATAATTTTCTCTAAGTCCATCCACGTTGCTATGAATGGTAGTGTTTCTTTTTTTTATGCAGAGTAGTATTCCATTGTGTAGATATACATTTTCCTTATCCACTCATCTGTTGATGGGCCTTTAGGATGGTTGCAACTCTTGGCTATTGTACATAGTGCTTCAATAAACATGGGAGTACAGGTGTCCCTTCGATATGATGATTTCCATTCCTCTGGGTATATACCCAACAGTGGAATAGCTGGGTCATATGGTAGATCTATCTGTAATTGTTTGAGGAACCTCCATAGCATTTTCCATAAAGGCTGCACTATTTTGCAGTCTCACCAACAGTGTATGAGAGTTCCTTTTTCTCCATAGCCTTGTCAGCATTTGTCATTCTCAGTCTTTTGGACAGTAGCCATCCTAACTGGGGTTAGGTAGTATCTCAAAGTGGTTTTGATTTGCATTTCCCAAATGCTGAGTGATGTTGAGCATTTTTTGATGTGTCTGTTGGCCATTCATATAACTTCCTTTGAGAAATGCCAATTCAGCTCCTTTGCCCATTTTTGGGATTTCTTTTTTATTACTTTTTAAAATTTTTTTGCTGTTGTTTGAGTTCCTTATGTATTCTGGATATTAATCCTTTGTCAGATGTGTATTTTGCAAATATTTTCTCTGTAGGTTGTCTTTTCACTCTGTTAACTGTTTCTTTTGCTGTGCAAAAGCTTTTTAGTTTGATATAATCCCATTTGTTTATTTTTCCTTTGGTTGGCTGTGCTTTTGGGGTTGTATTCATAAAGTCTGTACACAATCCTAATTCCTGGAATGTTTCCCCTATATTTTCTTTAAGGAGTTTTATTGTTTCAGGATGTGTATTTAATTCTTTAATCCATTTTGAGTTGATTTTGGTATATGGTGAGAGGTACTGGTCTAGTTTCATTCTCTTACATATGAATGCCTACTTTTCCCAGAATCATTTACTGAAGAGGTAGTCTCTTCCCCAGTGTGTAGTCTTACCGCCTTTGTCAAAGATCAGATGGCTGTAGGTGCATGGGTTGATTTCTGGATTCTCTATTCTGTTCCGTTTGTCTGTCTGCTTTTACACCCGTACCATGCTGTTTTGGTTGCTATGGCTTTGTAGTATAGTTTAAAGTAAAGTAGTGTTATGACTCTGGCTTTATTTTTTTATGTTTTATTTGGCTTAGGATTGCTTTGGCTATTTGTGGTCTTTTGTTCTTCCATTGAATGTTAGGGTTGCTTTTTCCCATTCTGAGAAAAATGTCATTGGAATTTTTGTGGGGACTGTATTCTCTTAGCAGTGGTTTGTAGTTCTCATTATAGAGATTTTTCACATCCTTGGTTAACTCTATTCCTAGATTTTTTTTTTTTTTTTTTGGTGACTGTTGTAAATGGGCTAGCTTCTTGACTTCTTTTTCTGCTAGTTCATTGTTGGAGTATAGAAATGGTACTGATTTTTGCATGTTGATTTTGTATCCTGCAACTGTGCTGAAATAATTTATTAACTCTAAGAGGATTTTTTTGTTTTTTGTTTTTTGTTTTTTTTGTAGTCTTTGGGCTGTTCTATATACAGGGTCATATCATCTGCAAACAGGAACAGTTTGACTTCATCTTTTCCAATCTGGATGCCCTTTATTTCCTTCTCTTCCCTGATTGCTCTGGCTAGTACTTCCAACACTATGTTGAATGGTATTGGTGAGAGTGGGTCCTTGTCTTGTTACTGTTCTTAAGGGAAAAGCTTTCAATTTTTCCCCATTCAGGATGATATTGGCATACCACAAAGGTATAAATGAGAATGTGTGATATTTCTCTTTCTTTGTCTGGCTTATTTCATTTAACATAATTTTCTCCAGACTCATCCATGTTGCTGTAAATGGCAGAAATTCCAGTAATGTTGCAGGGTACAAAATCAACCCCCACAAATCAGTAGCATTTTAATACTCCAGTAACGAACTAGCAGAAAAAGAAATCAAGAAAGCAATCCCACTTAAAATAATCGTCCAAAAAAATAAAACACCTAGGAATCAATTTAGCCAAGGAGGCAAATATCTCTACACTGAAACACTACTGAAAGAAATTAAAGAGGAGAGGTGGAGGGACATATCATGCTCTTGGATGGGAAAAATTAACATTGTGAAAATGTCCCTTCTTCCCAAAGCAATCTATAAATCCAAAGCCATTCCCATCAAAATACCAATGACATTCTTCACAGAAATAGAAAAGGCAATCCAGACATTTATATATAAGCAACAACAAAAGACCCTGAATAGCCAAAGCAATCCTGAGCAATAAATAAGTAAATAAAGCTGGAGGCATAACACTATCCAACTTCAAATTATATTACAAAGCTATAGTAACCAAAACAGCATGGTACTGGCATAAAAACAGTCACTTGGGTCTCTGTGATTGAACTTTACCTTACTTTTCCAACTTCATTTCCCACTGCTCACCATCATTCTCCCAGCCAGTCCAGGTCCCTTACTATCCTCTCAATCTGACATGTTCACTTCTACCTCTAAGGCCTTTGCTCACTTTCTCCCCACCTGATATGCCCTCTTGGCTACTCTCTATGAAAATCTCCATCCTTCAAGGCCAGATGAAGTGTGGCTTTCCCCATTAGACCTTTTCTGTCCAGCACAGGCCTTGTCAACCTCAGCTCCACACAGTTGCTATGTCATATCTACCATGATATCTTCAGCACCTTCAAGCACCTTGGTGCAAAGAAGCCATTCAGTACAAGTTTAATGAAAGATTGTAAATTATATTTCATTTCTCTTTGTTATTTCAATGCCTGACTCACGGTGCACATTTAATAAATGTGGCATAAAAATAATGACATTTGGTAAGTGGGTTTGAATCACTTTCATGTTTGCTAAAATGATCCAATTCCATTCAATAAAGATAAAAAACAGTTCCTGCCCTTGAGGTGACCACAATTTTATTATTTAATGGAGCTTTATAAGTAAAAATAAGTCTTGATAAATTTAAGAGAAGTGTTTGTTCTTTATTTATTCCTTACCCTCAATGAACACAAAATATGCTAAGTGGTCAAATATAAGCCCGTATGAGTTTCACTCTCTCAATTACTACTTTAATAAGTTATAAGTGCACCTATAACAGTAAACATCTTATTGGTAATGTGCACTAGCAATGCTTAGTAGTGATTGTGGTTTACAGTTGAACTGATTAGAGCAGTGACTAAATGGAACAAAGGAAGGATATTTTTTAAAATATCTGAAGGTGCACATATCATTACCAGAACATAAATGTGGCAGAAGAAAGAACAGGCAATGACCATTGGAGCTATCAACCACAACTCATGAGTTTTTCAACCACAACTCATGAGTGCACTACAGAAGCCACCAAAATCAAATATGCTCTGATTGACATTATCAGCCACCACCACTTTCAATATCATGTGAATAGCGGCTGCATTTACTGAGTATTTTCTAGGTGTTAACCACTTCCCATCCCCCAATACCCCCGTAAAAAAGGTATTAACATTTCTGTTTTAAAGATGAAGAAACTGAGTCTTGGAGAGGTTAAATAATGATTTCATACATGTATGCATGCATGTGTGTACATACACACACATATACACAACCCCCCCACACCACCACCACACTAAATGCTGTCACACAGTTATTACATGACAACATTAGGATAAAAACAGTATTGTCCACCCACCCAAAGCCTGTGCCCATTCTAGTTTGTCATACTGCTTACTCAGCATTTCACCAAGATCAAATCATTCCAACCAGGCAGGTTCTTCGTTGATAGAATGAGCTATAAAGAAGATAATCAAAGGAGCAGGCAGCTTCAAGTCACCTTCTTGGAAAACTATTTAGAGAATTATGAAAGTTTTCTGGGTGATATTCCTTGATATTTGATTCCTCGATACTACACAGAGTCCCTGGCTTTCTCTTTCTAGAAATGGCACTCTAATTAAATTATAATACTATGCATTCAGCTTAGGATGGGTCTATGATTGTGTCTGTTGATTCTGGCAAGAGAAGAACATTTTGTGATTAAATATAGATCGATACAATTTGGAATTCTAAGTCCTTGCGTGATTTTCCCAAGCCCTCCTACTTCAGGTGCTATGCTTCTACATTTGACAACAATTTCCCATATTCGCACCTTTCCAAATATTTCTGGTCATCTCAAAGGTTCTACTTAGAA